GGTTAAAATATAATTGTACTTATAACTGCTGTGAAGAATATCAGAAGCTACTTCTTTATACATTTATAACTTGTTTTACATCTTGTTCTTTTTTTTCTACTTTCTACTTTTTTTCTTTTTTTATTGCACTTTTAGCTTTTTCTGTTATTTCTCTCTTTTTCATTTTGTCTGTTCTAATTTAGTTTGTAGTAGTTCTTATTATTGTTCTTAAAACTTTTAATAAAAATTATATTAAAAAAGGATCTAGAAATTATTCATGCAATACTCTTTGAATCAGAGAATTAAAGTTTTTACCTTTAAAAGAGTTCTTATTTCTTGTTCAATTGCAGATTGGGTTTCAGGGCTGAAATTCGTTGTCTCTTTGTAGGTCATGACACCAAGCTTATGAAAAAGGGAAATGATTTGAGAAAGAAAAGGAGATGCTTATTTCTGTAGCACTTTCTAAGTGTAAAATGCAGTATAATTGTCAGATAATTTGATCTCCTAGCATCTTGCAAGTATTATATTTTGTACCACAATGAGTTCTGAAGAGTCTGACTGCAGGTCTTGTTCATATATGGGAGTAACCCATCATTTCAAAGCTGACTTGATAATTTGAACAGAAAGAAAACAATTCTATATTTATGTAAGAGTGTATCTGTGGGACTTTGCTGTGTGACTAGAACTGCAATTACTATATGCTTTATTGGAACAAACTCTACCCCTATAAAATTAATTTTAAAGAGGTTTATAAGTCATCCTTAGTAACTTGTTTTCATTACAAACACTTGCAAAGAGTTTTCATTCATGCATTTAAGGCATCTAACTGGAAAAAAACTGCAAAGAGAAGATGACATTACTGAGAGGTTCAGCTAGGTCTATTTTGTTGCATCCTGTCTGAAGCACCCAGTCTGAAAGGCTGCAAGTACAATGAGTTGACTAGCAGTCAGAAGCAGAAATCTGAGATGGCTGTAAGGGAACTAACCACTAATTAAGTATGTTAGTTGATGCTTTTGGCTCAACTGTATGTTAGTTGAGTTAAAAGATCCCATCAGCTCTAACTCTTCCTTTATATACATCTATTGCAGTTCAATCCTCATTCATTCTCTTTATATGAACACACCATCTCAGTGTATTTCTTATACACTGGTCACTCACTTTTATATTTGATCCACATTTATTCATCAACTATTTATTCTTTTTTTAAAAAGCCATTTTTGTTTCCATTCACGAACACTGATTAATTGAATCAGGCAACATACCACCCTCTACCGTTCTATCTGCAATTACAATTAGCAGCGAATGGTGCCTATGACATGGTATGACCAAGGCTGGTAATCTGGGCTACACCTTCTCTACTGTACTAAAAAACATTAAGTTTTATGTGATCTCCAGTTTGATAAATTTGGCAAACAACTTGCTAAGGCTAGCTCCTTAGCAACTGGATCCTACAAAAGAACACCAGAGACTTTAACATATTACTGTTACAAGTTGTTGGCCATAAGATCTATGTTTATTCTTTCAGTGTCCAAATAAACTTCTGACAGCACTCGCTGATGGTAATTTTCTATTGATAAATACAATTCTGCAAATTAAATACAGTTTCTAGGAAAGGGAGTCAATATTCAAACCAAATTAGACAAATAAAATTTATGATCCTCCAATGTCTATATGTATTTAAAAATTAAAATTACTTGATGCTTCCATCTGTCAAAAGTGTACCCGCTCTAAGTTTATTTCTTCCTCCTCCTCCCACTGCTGCTTTAAAACTGTCCAAGTCTTACATGGCTTTTTATGTACCACTGAACCTTGAAGGCCATCCATTATGCTTAGATCTCCACAAATGTCCCTGTTTCTCTAGCATCCTCTCTAATTTCTTATTTGGTGAACTATGACTCCTGACTTCGAAACTGTATTGAAAAAACTTTGTACTATTTTCGCATGATATTTAAAAACAAGCTCATGTACCCAAGCTACACCATATTTAAAAACAGGCTCATGTACCCAAGCTATACCATATTTACTCTGTCAGAATGAAACTTTATTTTTATAACAAGAATATTTTGTACATAGATCTGCACATCTCCAACATGAAAAGTATTTCACTATAAATCCATTATAAGAAGAGTAAATGAAATTGTACCTTGTCACTCATTCCAAACCTAGTCACCATGAGTTTTGCTATTTTAGTAGCATTCTCAAAGTCATTAGAAGAACCTAGGTGATTATAAAAAAACATAAAGTTAATTCAGGACATAAAAGCTAAAATATAAGTCCTCATACATGAATTTAAGTTCTTGTTTCTGCTAGGAATGTACAAAGCATTCTATGCATGGGATAGCTGGTTTTGAGTAGTCTGTACATGAACTGAAATCCCTGTTTTAGGTGCCTGAATCCATGTGTGGAATTAAATATGGTTCATTTGTTCTAGGCACAGAGCTAAATGCAGTTGTTACAGGCAGAAATGGTTCAGAGAGGAGAATGTAGGAAAAGACAAGGGTGTAGCAGTGGGGTCATGAGGGAGGGAGGGGAAGCACTGGAAAGATTGGAGAATGGGCAGATATACCATTGTGCTAGGCTGGGACACTAACAGTGGCTACTGAAGGAGGAGAGAAGAAAGACAGGCTGTTGGAATAGGCCAAACTGAGACACAAGCAGCAGCTGAGAGGAGGAAGGGAAGGCATTAGGAAGATCAGCAGGACAGTGATATATGGGAGCTGCTGAGGGAGAAGTGGGAGCAATGCGTTTGAGCCTTGCCCTAGTCATTCCATCTGTTGCATCTGAAACATGGACTAGCTAAAGAGATCTGGGTCCTGGTTCGGTCAAACTGTAGCAGACCTGAAACAACTCTGCGTAATCTCAGGGAAAGGATGGTATGTTTCAGGTTTGAAACAAAATAATTTTCCCCATTTTGTGCACACCCTTAATTTTGACTAACCTGTTGTGATGTGTTCGTTCCCAAATATGAGTTCCTCTGCTACTCTTCCTCCCATACTGACATCCATCTGGGCAAGCAGCTGAGATCTAGTTTCATTCCATCTGTCACTTTCTGGCAACAAAGAAACCTTTAATACAAAATTGCACGTTAAGTTTGCAAAATCCATAGATTAGGTTTAATGGCCGCTAGATGATTTGTTCTCACAGCATATTTTACAAACAAGAAATCCACAAAGGGCTCACAAAAATATTACAAAGATATTTGCATTGTCATGGTACACCAAAAGGGTTCTAGATGAAGCTGTTGTCACACATTACCAACTGAGATGAGCAACTGCCAATCTTCTGGCTTATCCTCTTATCTCACCATCCCTTAAGAACCAAGTCCAGCTGGTCTGAAGGTGGGACTGGCAAACAATACTACACAGACTCATACTACAGAACAGAAACTAGGAAATATTTTACTGCAACTTTAAAAAAAGGTACAGAACACTTACCCATTTGGTTAATTAGACAGAACAGTTTCCAGAATAACAACAGATAAACCCAATGAGAAACTATTCTTTATAATACCACTGTTTATTTTCATTAATAACTTTCAGTAAGTTGTCTTCGTTAATATCATCATCGCTCCCCTGCAGCCTAAAGTCCTACTGTGCTATAAGGAATTTGTGCTAAGGTAATTAATGTGCAGCAATCTCAAAACAGTCCAAACTAATGAAATGCTCTCCCTGAATCACAACAATATAAGCCACTATGATCAGTTAAAATATTTAGCTTTAAACCATAACTTTAGGTAATGTGATTTAGTGCCCAAGGACCCCATTTATCTCATAAGGAATATCTTACACAACAAACTACCCTTACAGTCTTCGGCATCATTGCACCGTTAAGAAATTTCTCATGAACAGATAGCTGTACAATTGTTGAACTCTAGGGCTATACACTATATTAGATTCAAAGGGGGAAGAGTGCATACAATACAATCATATACAAAGATTTATACACCCCATTAAATTATATGATTCAATGAATCCCTTTGAATTACAGATTCAAGGTTGAAAATAGTGAATATGGCAGGTGCAATGGTCTGGACACCTTTTCAGCCACTACTTGTAACACCTCCTTTGATAGAAATAACTGCTTCCAAATGTTTTCTGTAGCCAGCTAAAAGTCTTTCTATTCTTGCTTTTGGAATTTTTCCTACTTTTCCTTGAAGAAGTCTTCTAGCTCAGAAATATTCTGAGGTTTCCTTGCATGCACTGCATGTTTGGGTGGAGGGAGCTGCAGCAAGACAATGATATGAAACATACCTCCAAATCAAGCAAGGAGCACTTACAGGAAAGAAAGAAAAAGATTTGGAATGGCCTTCACAGTCCCCAGACTTGAATATTATTAAAGAGATTCAAACATGCAGTGCATGTAAGAGGTCCAAGCAATTTCCAGAAAGATGTTATGTTTAAGTTTGTACCATGTAGAGGCTGTGTTAGCTTCTGTTCATTTTGAAGCCAAAGCACTGTACAGCCCTATTAAAATCAATGAAGTAAGCAGTGTTTAATATTATTCAAAACCCTTACGTGTCCAAGTGTTGGTCCTCGTGGCATAATTGTTGCTTTATTGATTGGCATTGCATCTTTGGTATAATATGCAATAATGGCATGCCCAGATTCATGATATGCTGTAATTGTTTTATTTTTATCACCAATTTCTACACTTCTACGCTCAGGGCCTGAAATCAAAATAAACCAAGAGAACTTTTACATTGTCAATTACAGTGTATGATAAAAACTGAAAAGCACCTTCCTTTTCAGGGTTTTAGTCACTTGTGTTGTCTTCCAAGACAGACCATTCCCATCCCTCTTCCCACCCGCCCCCAACTCTTTGCCAGTCAGCATTTCATGGTCAATGAACATCCTTAATCTGTTTTTTTTCACTCCCCTCCATAATTTCATTTTTCCTTAGGTAGTCTACATTTCTATAAATCTTAGATCTATAAATCATGTACAAAAACTTCCTTTTTGTACATGATTGGTGCTGATGAAGAATGTGTTCACTCTGAATTCACTTGAATTCATTTGATGTTTATTACATTTGAGAGGCTTCATTGTTGTATTTCAGGCTGTCACAGTGTGACTGGGTTCGTTTTTTGGAGTGGAGGTATATTACAAAGCAAAGGTGGCAATGGACATAGAAACACATGGTAGTGGAGGCTTTTTATGCTATTTAAATATATACAGTATTCATAGAAGATATTTACAACAGGGTTAATAACACAATGCTGGTGTCAGGTCTCTTCTCATGCCTCCCTATCAACAGTAACTTTCCCCCTCAACTTCTCCTACTTCCTCTCCCTTTCTCTCCATCTCCCTCCTCCCTTTCTGGGCTTGATAAGAGAGAGAAAAGAAAGGAAAGAAAGGACTGGGACTATTGGAGTGTGCTCAGCATTGTTTCACTTTTGTCCAGCTCAGCCAAAATACTGTCCACTTCTGCACTGGGGGAATAACTACTTTCAGGGTCTTCTCCCCAGTTTTTCCCCCAAACCAGGGCTTCTGTACTGGCAGCCGATTTCCTCTCTGTCCTCCACATGATCTTGGGTGTAGCTGAGGCTGTAACCAGCCGGATCCCTTCTAGCCCCCCAGAATCTTGGGTGGAGCTCATCCCTCTGGGTCTTCACTTCACAACTTCCAGGGAAGCCACCCTAGGCCGTTCTTTTCCTTTCCTGAACAGGAACTAACACTTGCCCTGCATACCTCACTTCACTCTCCAGCTCTTCTCCAGCCTTTTCTCTCCAGCTTCTCTGTCCACTCCAGCAACAAACTTTTATTCCCCATTCCTTCTCTCTCTCTCCCTCCCTCCCTCGCCCTCCCTCCCTCCCTCCAATTTTTGGTTACACTGGCAGCATGTCCTGCAACAATTGAGGAGATGGGTGTCCCCCAGGGGTCTAGTCCCCAACACCTATACCCCTTGCTGCACCAATGGGACTGCTGACTCTAAATCTCCCCATACCAGCCCTGGCTAGCAGGCAGGTCAGCTCATCAGGTCCCATAACAATACAGCTGCCCTTCAAGGCCAAAAGCAAGCTGGTTTTTTCTGTTTCTTCACTCCACGTCTGGCTCATGTCAGCAAAACAGCACCCATGACAGGCCACAAAATCTATATGCCCCACAGGTGCAGCACAGAAAAATCCTAAACATAGAGCCTAAAGTAAACCCCTTATGTTCCCAGTCCCTCACTTCCTAAATAGTCTCTTATTTGTAAGGGTTATTTAATTAAACTTATTACTGAAGGTTCTTATGTAAATATTATATTGTGACAGTTGTTATGTGATTCCCTTGAAAACAAACAACCCAATAAAGCTTTCTTTTAAATCACTAATGGAATTCAACACATGTAAGACTAAAAATATATTATCTCATACAGTGAAACCTTGATTTAGTAAATTTTGCTATAATAGCTCCACATGCAATGGACCAAATTTTGGTGGCAATTTACATCATTTCCATAAGATCTTTGATGTAATGATGTTGTCACACAAGTGATATAAATTAATGCAATTATTTAGCAGACATGTGTGCACGACAGACATCCTCTCTCCCTGATTAGTCTGTTAAAATGAGAATTGCATTATACTATTCTATATTATATTAAAAATAAAAGTTACTGCTGTGACTGGGGAAAAAACATAGAAGTGATTACAAAATATAAAACCTACCCATGACAATTTTGTCCTTTGCAAATTCTAGCTCCCTCATAGTAACCATGTCCTTTTCATCAATTGCTGCCTTTAATGCAGCTTGGTTCACAAGGTTTTCCAACTCAGCTCCAGAAAATCCTACCGTACCTCTTGCAATGATTTCTGGATTAATGGCTGTGCAAACAGAGATACATTAATGCCTTTGTCAATCCAAGTTGATGTTAATATTCAGGTAAGTTAGCATGCACAATAAACTTAAAGATGCAGAGCTTTGCATTACATACACTTTTTACAATAATCCAGCTTTAAGAATTTACTATCTTTACGATTGTAAATGTTTGAATAAGAACTGTGACCTGAGAATCAGATACCACAACTGTTCAAATGATTGAACAAATTTCCTTTTCCTAAAAATATAAGATAGTCTTTGGATGCAGCAAGTTTTTACAATACAGTCTAGTTTTGAATTCAGTTTTAACTTGATAAAATTTAGTTTTTAAGAACAGTTATAAAAAACACACTTCTAGCCCTTAACTATGTTCTATTAAGCCCAGATATTCATCTTAATGGAAAGATCTTCAACCTTAATCAGCATACACATGCATTTCCTATGCAGCTAGCCTGCTGGCAACTGTCTATGTTTTTATTTCAAAAATGCAACACTTACATATTTATACTTACACTTATCATACTTTATTTTATTAAGATACCATTTCAAAATTTCTGTTCGTCCCTTAACATCTGGCCTGGGGACTGTAACTTGCATGTCAAAGCGGCCAGGACGTAACAAAGCACTAATGGGGGAGGAAAAAAGGTGTTGTGAATGATTCAATAATGTAAAATCTTGGTTAATCATTTTATATCTTAAAATATTTTAAAAAGATGATTTGGTAAGGAAAGTAGCCAGTACATTTCTGATTTCCACTAAAAGTCAGTTCACACAATTAAATGCTTTCCACAGAAAAACTTGCAATAATTGTGGGCACAAGAAGCTTATGGAAAACTGTACTTATGAACCAGCATTACAATGCTACATTTCAGATGTACTGACTGGTTGGATCCAGACTGCATTTAAATCTATCATTTTCAGTTAAGAGCTTCCATTTAGAACTGTTGCTCCAGCAAAATATGGCTATTCTCTTAATTACTTAATTGTTAAGACAAAGAATATCGGCAGGATTATTAATTATGCATCCATATTACTGTCCTAAACTATCAAAGTCATATACACACAAAATCAAATCAAGCAAAGTTGTATTTTTCACACACACACACACGCACAGAGACATACTTATCTAGTGCTTCTGGGAAGTTTGTTGCACCAATGATAATGATTCCTTCATTAGATTTAAAGCTTCAAAAAAATAAAAGAAATGTAATTAATATATTTACAGTAATTTTCCCTTAACCATTTAGGTACTGAATTGAGATCTAAGCAAGTCATATTCAGTTCAGTGTGATTTTCAAAGAATGCTTCATTTATTTTAGGAGTGGAGTGGAGGACCTTTTTCCTGTTGAAGCCAACACTTTCTTGGGCATGTGGCTGTGATTACCAATGACTGGCCTTAGCCACATTCAGTGCATGTGACAACAGCATGTTTTTAACCAAAGGATGGTTCAACTTTTAAAATGAAAGAAATAGGGGGAAAATATGAAAACTACTTTTTGAACACAGATGTGCATGCTTTGGAAATGATGACAATATATAAGTTAATGTCTTATATGAATATAGGTATTAACTTAAATGAGTGAATTTCTCGAGTATCGGAAAGCTGCTGTTCTTATGCAGGGTCCAAAACGCTTATGTTGAATCATTTTTGAAGCATGCACCCCCTACTTTTGACCTACATGTGATATATAATTATTGCTCCCCCACTTGAATGTCTGTGCTGTCCTTAACTTTGAGTAGGATTTTGCACTCACCCACAATCCCCAATATTTAGATATTCAGGGACATAAGACAGTCAGTTTGTGGATCCTATCTTTAATGGCAAAAACATCTTCCTAAGAAAAATAACACATTTCCTAGTATTTACAGCTTTCAAACCATGTTTCTCTTCTAGACATGTGCAAAACATTTCAGATCCAAAATGTTTTGTCCACCTCTGTTCCACATCCATAATAATGAAACTAAAAATCCCTTTATTTAGAAGAAAAATTAACACTTACCCATCCATTTCAGCAAGGAGCTGGTTTATAGTTTGCTTTGAGTAGGGATGCATTGGAGATTCTACTCTTTTGCCACCAACAGAATCCAACTCATCAATGAATATAACACTTGGTGCATTTGCTTTGGCTTCCTCTGAGAATATAAGACGTCAAATTCTTTATAATTTTTCCCTCCATTTGTTTCCAGTGTAAAAATCATGAGATTTTTCTGACTATCGTAATGGATTCTATTTTTTCACCAAAAAAGCTATTCTCTGAATAAACCCCCCAAACTGAGCTATATTTTTTCATTTACGTTTTCGTTTGCAACAGAGATAAGGCAAATAGTTTGAAAGAGAATGCATTTGAGTTCTTGTGATGTCCATTAATTTCTAATGTAGTTAACCAAAAAAAGTGCTATCCATTTACTAATAAGATGTTACGGCACTGATGCTGTTTTCACTAAAGGGGATCCAAGGGAAAAGCTGAACTTACTAAACAGATTTCTAATACGGCTGGCTCCCACTCCAACAAACATCTCATCAAATTCAGACCCAGAAGCATAATAGAAGGGAACATCAGCTTCTCCTGCCACAGCCCGGGCAAGGAGGGTTTTGCCAGTACCAGGTGGACCCACCAACAGTACACCTAGAAAGATACAAGCATGAAAACAATATCACACTAAACTACGGAGACCTTACTATTGTCCATGTTAGTCCCAAGTTCTGTAATTTTTCATAAGGAATTTTATTACTCAGTAACAAGTACAGGTAGTCCTCACTTCATTCAGCAACAGTGAAGTTACAACAGTGCTGAAAAAATAACTTTACCGCCTATTTATGACCATTTGTGACTTTTGCAGGGTCCCTCAGTCACGTGATCACCATTGCACTCAGTATGCATTGTCCTGCGCCCGACTAGGGTTTTTTTCCTTTTTCCCCCCCTTGCAGGGCAGAGAGATCAGAGAGAGATTTCAAGAGAGTAAGCCATTTGCTCTTCTACAGCTTGAAAGCAACGTGATCGCGCTGGCAGCCCAGGGCTGGGAGCCGTGGGTGCATTACGCAAACAGCTTACAGTACTCTCTTGAAATCTCTTTCTCTCCAATCTCTCTGCTCTGTGAGGAGGGGGAGAAAAAAAGCAAGAGACTTCTGTAAGCAATCTCTCCTTTGCCTGACCTGCAGGTACTCAAGCATTCCAAAGGGCAGGGGGGTGGCTAGGAGGCAAACAAAAGCTGAAGTGTGAAACTGAGTAGTCTTGTCTCTTTCTAGCTGGAAAACACAGTTGCGGTCATGTGCTTTCCCACTTAGCAACCCCTTCGCTAAGTCCCAATTAGGATCATTAAGCGAGGACTACCTGTATGAACAATTGAGGATACCATTCTGACTCTAGCATATTCGCTAATATAAATTAGGAGTTTGAAACAGATATGAAAGAGTGATTAGCTGTACTTTGTTAGGTACCATTTTAACAAGAAGCAGTGTTTTGAAAACCAACTTGATAATACAGAATGGGACGAAATTAACTGGATGCACATTAGAGACCTATGCTGAATTGTATTTGTTTTACAGAAATCATACAAGACTAGACTAGAGTATAACAATAAGGAAAGGTTCATACTTACCTTTAGGGAGTTTACCTCCTAATATGGTAAATTTCTGGGGGTTTTTCAAAAATTCTACAATTTCCTGCAACTCTTGCTTAGCTTCATCTACCTGAACTCAATTAAGAAAAAAGTACTTAAGACTATAATAATTTCATACTAACATGCTTTTGACATGTTAATTATATGGTTGCCCTACATACAGTTACTTTTAAATAACATTTCCCTTATCAAAACTGTTAAATGGGATTTGACTTCCTTATCCCACTGCACACATTAATCATGACATTTCTGTATTATCCAAGACAATGTGTTTTTAGGCAAAATAAGAACAGAGTGGACTATTTTAAAAAACACAATTCCCCACTGGATACGGTCATTAAAGTGGACTGATCTATGGCCTATGAGAGCAAATTTGGCAGAAATGTTTACTAGCATTAAAAATACTGTGAAAAACAGTTACTTATGCACACTTGGTAAAAAAGGAATGTAATTAATTGCTATATAACTTTTCAGAACAGAGTGCTGAAACAAACACAAATTATACCCTGTGAGTTTATATTAAATAATGGTTAAATAATTCAAAAGTGAAAAATAGCAACTTCCTCTAATTATACAAAGCAGATAGATCATTTAAAAAAAACAAAATGATTATATGATTCAGCTCTTGTTAAACAGTGGTTTTCATGAGAAAAGAAGGTAACTGCAGAATACATCTGGGTAACACTACACTGTACCGACTTGAAACAACTTCTAAGACAAGGATATTCTGCCAGATGCTTAGCAGCATGGAAGAGAGTATACTGATGAGTATTATAGTAATAAAATTCAAAGAGGTCACAGCTGTGACAGCCCAACTATCTTAGCAGCCCATCAAGCATTCATTTTGGGACGGAAGAATTGAGCCACTCTGCTGTTTCAGATTTGTTACTCATACCTAGAGCATCTTATTATTTAATGAAAGTACTAGTTCTTTCCCTCATTCACAATATAATGCATTCACCTCACTTTTCTCATCCCCATGACATACATCTTTATGCAAATCGGCTTCTGCCCTTTTAGGTCTATCAGGATGTTCATGTTTTGTCTGATTGCTTCAATTCTACTGCACAATCGAGAGACATCCAACAATTGAACTTACGCCTTTCACATGTTCAAAGGTGATATTTTTCATCTGAATAGGATCCACTGCTGCATCAAGCCCAGAACTTGCTCGAAAACGTACTGCAAGCAAAGGAATTCATTTAGTCAAATACATTATTGCCACTCACCTTATTTTTGTTACAATATATTGTATGTCTTGTTATTGCTGTTATTTGTTATTGCATTGGTGTTTTAAAGCTATGCTAGCTACCCAGAGATAGGCAGCCATATAAATCTAAATCTAAATAAATACACGTTTTCATCACTAGCAATATCACAATGATATTCTTAAAAAAGTATACTTTCCCTTCACTGTTACATGGGACATCTGAAAGTGACCATATATATAACTACTTAGCTTTGGCAATGCTTCAGTCTCAATATCAACACAAACCATTAGCAGTTGTTTACCCAATTAAAAGCTTTCCCACTCATTTAAAATGTTGGACTCATATCATCCAGGCATCTGATTTTCAGAATAAGAACACCTTCAAATTTTCTACAATTAAAATACTGATCAAAGACTTCTCAAAGCTTCAAGAAGATACAAAATATGTCATTAAAATTAAGGTTCTGATACTGTCAATATATAAGTACTGAAGTTGTTGATACTGCAGTATATAAGTACTGGAAAACAAAGGAGGCATATACTGTTAAAGCTACTAAGATTATTTATCAGATCTGAAGAATATGCAGGCTGTGCTCTATGTAAGTTATTCATGGAAGAAAATGCTTCAAACTGATAAATATAAAAGCAATCTCTTTCTCTTAGTCTCTATCCACTGTATTTCTAGCAACCCCCTCCTCTACTTAAATACTCTTTGAAGATCAGACAGGGAATAACTTGACTTTTAAATTTAAGTTTAGCATGGCATAATACAATAATAAATAACAATAAATTTAAAATTTAGAAGAATTAAAAGTTAACAAACCAGCATCAGAAAATGAGCCTTTAGGTAAAAACTGGCTTTTTAACACAGTATAAATACCAAACAACACCGCTAGAAAGACAAACAATCGGGTTCGTCTTAAGGAATCTGAAAAGAAAAAAAGAATATTTATTTAGCCAATTGATATGGTGCCGATGTTAACCAAATAAATTTTGCAGCTGACAAAAGCTAAAATAAGCACAATATAAGATACCATAAACAACCACCAATCTAAAATAAACAGTTCAGACTCCTTAGATTCTCTGGCAGCATAAAAACAAAACACAATATTAGGCTCTTGGCACCTGAGTGAAAAGCCAGGTCTTCAAGGCCTTCCAAAGTCCCCAGAATCAGGGCCATCTGAAACTTAGGAGGGAGGCTCTACGGGGCAGGCATTGTGACAGAGAAGACATGCCTCCTGGGTCCCTACTAAGTGACATTGTTTCACAGATGGGACTCAGAGCATGCGCACCCTGCTAGATCTGATGGGATGGACTGAAAGTGTGGTGGTTCCACCAGTAACCTGGCCCTGTGTCATGTAGGGCTTTAAAGGTGACAACCAGCACCTCGAAGTGCACCCAGAGACTTATTGGGAGCCAATGCACCTTATGCAGCAGTGCTGTTATGTGGGTGCACTATGGTGTCCCCAAAAGAGCATGCACTGCCACATGCCATATAAATATGACAAATAATTTCTGGATCTGCTGCAGCTTCCAAATGCTTTTCAAGGACAGCCCTGCCATATGTTATATTGCAATAGTTCAACTGGGAAATAACTAAGTCATAAGCAACTATAAGAAGTGTCTTCCAATTGAGGAACAGGAGCAACTGGTGCATAAGATGGAGCAGTGCAAAGGGACTCCTGGCTACAGCTCCCACTTGCTCCTCAAGCAGGAACCATGAGTCCAGAAGGACCCTCAGATTGTACAACAACTCACTCAGTCTAGGGAATGGTATCCTTTACAGGGTTAACAATGGAGGATCTCCAGATCTGGGGGGCCCTAAAACCCATAGCCACTCAGTCTTGTTTGGATTGAGTCAAAACCAGTACTTTCCCATCCAGACTCTCAAAGCTTCCAGGCACTGAGAAAGAAACAACAGAATTACTTGGGTGGCCTGAAGCAGAGATGTATAGCGGAGTATCATCAACATACTGATGATACTTAACCCTGTGCCAATGGATGACCTCACCCACCACTTCATATACACATGAAATAGGAATGGGGAGTCAAGCCCTGCACCACACACAAAGCAGAGGCTTACAGCTAGACCTCTCCCCATCTGCCAGTACCAACTGGAACTGGCCTCAGAGGAAGGAGAAAAATGACCAGACAACTGTGACTCCCATTTAAAGCCTCCTCAGTCAGTCCAGAAGAATTACGTGACTGATGGTACCAAAGATCATTGAAACATCAAGGGCAGTTAGAATGAATATATTATCTCTATCCTGAGCCCATGAGAGGTCATCCATAATCATGATTAATGCTGTTTCAGCACTGTAACCCAACCTGAAACCTGAATGAAATTAGTCTAAATAATCTGGTTCCTCCAGGGCCTTTTGGAGCTACGAGCCTACCAACTTCCCAAAAACCTTCAGGAAGGTTTTATTTATTTATCAGACTTGTACAGGTAATCCTTGCTGACCAACTGCTTCCTTTAATGACCAAAATTACACTGGTGTAAAAAAAAAAGTTTTATGACCAATCTTTGCATTTACGTCCATCGCAGCATCCCATGGCCATGTGACTGCCATTTGTGTGCTTCACAGCTGGCTTACATCAAGCACAATTAATAGAGAAGGTGGAAATAAAATTGTAAGTCGTGGTCACATGATGTTTTGCTTAACGACCAAAGGGGAAGTGACACTGTAAGCCTATTGGGGTCACATGTTTCGCTTAGCGACCGTGACACTTAACGATGGAGTTGCCAGTCCCCATTGTGGTCACTAAGAGAGGACTACCTGAACAGCCATCCATATTGTAACCACAACTGTGGGTGGCTCACAAAATAAAAACACCAAAAAAACTTACAATTACAATAAAAATTCATGACGCCTCGTAACAACACACTCCAAGATATCATCTTACTGGGCTCCAGCCTCATCTTACCCCACTGTGGGAAGACCCAGCTATTCAAGGCCTTCCAGAAGGCAAGGAGGTTAGGGGCTTGAGATCTCTCGGGGCGGGGAGGAGTTTTCCATAAGGCAGGGGCAGCCCTGTTGGAGACTGGATGAAAATTGTCTAATATTGCTGATGTCAGCAATGGCTGCTTAATGAAGAGGTGAAATAGTACCTCCTTTAAGATGGGGAACCATTTCATCCCCAACAAAACATTCATTGCTGCTTGGATCCAACTGCAGGGAGTCATTTGCAGGGAGGTCAGCAGGTAAAGACATGGCTTTAAAACACAGGTGGCAAGACTCAACATCCCAAGCACCCCATCTACTTCCTCAGGACTAACAGGCTCAAACTCCCCCCAGATAACCAAGCAAAGCTGCGTCTCAGTCAGTTCCATTAGATCTGCATAGCCAGAGTCCAGCGCTGAGTGAATCCAAGCAACTTTATTTGACAAATGCCTAAAATAGTCTTCACAACTTTTCGTCTTCCTCCAGGGGTTTCCCCAGTCCCTCCTTACCCAGGATGGATTGAATCATCCAGGAAAGAGTAATCAGTCAGCTATCCACTAATGCAAAAGGCTCTTATTTGTGCTTGGACTCACTTTTCATCTTCCTCCAGTGATGCATTAGGGATCTCTTATGCTGCTTCATTTCCGGAAGCTCCTCTGAAAACCAGTAGGCTCTATGGGATCCACACACACAGAAAGTCCACACGGGGACAATGGAATCCAAGGCTGCCTTGCCTGCTCATTCCAAGCAACAACTAATGACTCGGTCAAGTTGTGTAAGAGAGTTTCAGGGACAACCCCAGGTTCCCACTGAAACCTCACAGGGTTTACCAGGTATCTGGGGTGGACCAACTGAATTGGTTCTTTTGGATAGCATTATAGGTAGTTCTCAACTTACAACTACAATTGGGACCAGAACTTCTGTCAGTAAGCAATGCAGTTGTTAAAGTGAGTCACATCTGATTTTATAACTTTTGCCACAGTTATAGCAGTTAAGCAAATCACCAGTCATTAAGTGAATCACATGGTTGTTATGTAAATCCAGCTTCCCTCATTGACCTTGTTTATGGAAAGCCGCCTGGGAAGGTCGCAAATGGTGATCACATGACCCTGGGATGCTGAAACCATCATAAATACATGCCAATTCCCAAGTGCCCAAATTTTGATCACATGACCGTAGGGACGCTGCAATGGTCGTAAGTGAGAGGACCAGTCACAAGTCACTTTTTCCTGCATTGTCATAACTTCAAATGGTCGTTAAATGAATGGTCATAAGTTGAGGACCACTGAAGAAACAAAACCAACTGATCATCTTAACATGTGATGAAGATGTTGAGGAGAGATGTAGGAGGTACTTACCTATCACTAGACAGTGTGGGTATAAAGGAATCAATTTTACTGTATACAGTGGTGCCTCTACTTACGAACACTCCTACTTACGAATTTTTCGAGATACGATCAGCTCCGGCCCCAAAAATTTACCTCTACTTACGAACTCCGCCTCTACTTACGAACCGGATCCGCGGCCATTTTCCCTGCTGCCACGCGGTCGCAGCTTCCTGTGGGCAAGATCGCGGTAGCAAGGAGATGTTTGGTAAGGCTTGTGGTGTGTTTTGTGGTGTTTGGAAGGTTTTTGTGGCGTTTGGAAGGTTTTTGAGGTTTAAAAATAAAATGCGTAAGGCTTGTGGTGTGTTTTGTGGTGTTTGGAAGGTTTTTGTGGCGTTTGGAAGGTTTTTGAGGTTTAAAAATAAAATGCGTAAGGCTTGTGGTGTGTTTTGTGGTGTTTGGAAGGTTTTTGTGGCGTTTGGAAGGTTTTTGAGGTTTAAAAATAAAATGCGTAAGGCTTGTGGTGTGTTTTGTGGTGTTTGGAAGGTTTTTGTGGCGTTTGGAAGGTTTTTGAGGTTTAAAAATAAAATGCATATGTTTCAGAACTGTTTAGCCGTATTTACATTGAACCTTATGGGAAACTTTACCTCGACTTGAGACCAACTCGAGTTGCAACCAGAGTCACGGAACGGAGTAAGTTCGTAACTAGAGGTATCACTGTATTTAAAATATGTTCTCCCAATATTAAAAGGAAAGGAAATCTACAAATAATTATAAAAACTGCTTTAAAAAACAGATCAACTGACCAATTGTACGCTGTGCAAGTGCCTGTGATTTCAAAAAACCCTCTGCAAACCCAGTTTTAAAAGCATCTTGATGAGCCTCAGGTATGTTTTTTCTTTTCATCAGTTTGTCTAAACTTTCAATCTCAGATACTTTCTCTCTCAGTAGAAAACCCTGGGAACAGAATAGGAAAAACATTACTTTTTACATTATCAAATCTCATGTTAAAATACAATTTCTTCAGAAGTGCCTACAGTTATTATATTTCTGTCATGTGAAGTTTCATGACATTAGCCAAACTTTAAATTATTTTTAAAAACTTTTACATAGGTTAATTTTAGCAAACAATGGATTGTATATTAGATATTAAGAAAGTGATGCCTTTTTTTTTTTTACTTTTTCTAAAAGCTCAGTTCTAAACCCAAGAATTCCTATTGAATTTTTAAGTTAATGTATCTTCCCCAAACACTTTTTAATTCCTTACATAAATAGACCTTAAAACCACCAACTAAGGAAACTTGCTTGTTATATACAATTATGCAAGAAAAAAGATTATTCAGCAATAATTTAAATTATTAATTATTAGAGAATTTATCGGTAATGCAGCTCTCAAGGACACTCTATCACCTACTCTACCCTAAGACCATATCCTTGGGATACCTGCAAATTTTAAAATGATTTTAAATAGACAAATCTCCAAAGAATTCAATATTGTCATATAAATTCTCTGAAGATTTGAAGTGAAACTACCAATATTTTGTAAGATTTTAAAGCAAGAATGCCAAAATCTTAAAAGCTGTGCAAATCTTATGATAATTATTCTTTAAAAAAAAAACCTTTAAAATTACATGATGGTCTTTAATTCACGATATCAACCTTTCCAAATTACAAGTCATATATTAATTATGAAATCTAGTTATTCAGATTTGTTTTCCATAAACTGATGCCCTTGGCTATGCTGGCTGAGTTATTATGATAGCAGAAGTCTAACACATCTAGCAAACGTAAATCTGATCCAAGTATTTCACAGGAATTGCTCTTGCATATTCACTTTATACATTTTCTTTAATCCTTCAATGCTTCTACTAATTCTTTAAAAATATAATTAATCTAACCCTATTTGCACACCCACGATGCATAAAGCACCTCAACACTTTCTAATATCTCTATGGAACTTCAGCCGCTTGACATTTGACTACATATGCTAGTTTCTAATCTGAAATGCATATGGATTACATGGTAACACAAACCAGATAAGGTGGAAGACTCAGTCATCATCATAATGTGCACATTTTCATAATTACCTTTACAAATGAGGGAGCTACATCTTCTGCTTCTGCTGATTGTTCTGATGTGGACTGCAGCCGTCTTGCTCTCGATTTCAGAGTCTTAAAACCTCGAGACTGAATGAAAACTTCATACAGAAAGGGAGGTATTATATTTCAAGAACGCATGGGAGAAAACACTGATGTGTTCAGTACTTTCTTGTGTGGTATACTGCTTATACACAGATCTTGAATTTATATCAAAATATAAAAAACTATATAACCATTTCTCAGTGTGTGCATCTATGTGCTAAGTTTCAAATTTTCATCACCAAAATAGCTGCCAAAGCACCACAGTGGCACTGTCAGCTGCTTCTTTAAGAACTGGAATTTTCTTCGTAGAATTGTACGTATACAGGTTAATGGCATTTTTTCAGAGAGATCTCATGGTTGAGTGCAAGGATATGGGCAAGGAAGCAAGGTAAAGAAAAAAAGTGGAAGCAACTTGCAAACTGGCATGCAAGCATGTTACAGATAAGGCGCATAAGAGGAAGAAAGCTGAAATGGGGGAGGGGGCTCTCTTTCAGGTTCTGCAGGAGATGCTGCCAGTAAATAAGCGGCCAGAGCAGATGAGAACTGAGAAGGAGATGATGAGCCCAGATGATATGCAGCTCAGGAGCAGGAAGGCACCAGGAGATGCCTGCAGCAGACAGGAGAGGAAGCTAAGAAGTGGCAGAGAAGAAAAGAACCAAAGCAGTGCTGTACAATATAAGACATCCTTGGACTGAGAGTGCCATTGCAGTGCAAAACCCAGGTGGAGCCAGAGAGAGACTGAATAGGAAGGACATACGGTAGTTATTTTCAACTGTAGTTACTGTCATTTTCCCTTTGGTTAATGTAAGATTTTTGGGGGACACCAGCAGACTAGTGAAGGAAAGCAATTACAGGTAGTCCTTGACTTACCGCCACGATTGGGACCGGAACTTCTGTGGTTAAGTGATGCAGTCATTAAGTGAGTTGTGGCCAATTTTATGACTTTTGCCACGGTCATTAAGTAAATCTGGCTTCCCCCATTGGCTTTGCTTTTCAGAAGCCCCCTGGGAAAGCCATCAATGGCAATCACATGACCCCAGGATGCTGCAACCATTGTAAATATATGCTGGTGGCCAAACGACTGGATTCTGATCATGTGACCGCAGGGACACTGTGACAATCATAAGTGCAAGGACTGATCATAAGTCACTTTTTTCAGCGCTGTCATAACTGTGAACAGTCATTAAAGGAATTGTCGTAAGTCGAGGACTACCTGTAATACTCCAAAACCAACACTTTCAGTAAGCAGTTGAGGGCAGAAGGAAGAAGGTGAAAGATGCTTGAAGTTTGCAAATTAAGCACTGTTAAGGTTTTCTTTAGAACTTCATGTTTGCCTTAGTTATAAAGACATTATTTCTTTCATATCACTTTTGGACGCACTTGTACATATATGCAAATGACATCACCTTGTAATTGTAAATAGTTGTAAATAGGAATAAATAATACTTTAATTGATCTTTTGGCTCCACTGTGTTTTCATCAGTTCCTATCCGTACCCACCCTCCAACAACCACTGAGAAAACTGAATAGCATTTGCAAAGCAGAAAAGGACTGGTAGTTTGTGATTCTAATTTAAGTAATCAAAATCCTACAAGAGAACTGCAAACTGCTCTCTAGAGTGAAGTCATAAGGAATAATAGATCACTCAGTGTGGTGCCCCATGGGATTCAGTGTCAGCTCTTCCCAAGAAAGTGTATTGAAATCTACACTACACAGAGGATATTACAACATGGATTGGTAATAATTAAAACCTATTCTATTTAAACAATGTATTTTAGAATAGTTCTTTAAAACATTTACTTATTCTATATAGTTCCTTACTAATTAAGAATAATTCATGTATAAATTCTTGTGTTTCCTTTCATACTTTATGGAAATTACAAATCAAATTATAGGCTTAAACTAACAGTAAATTCAGAGTTGCCTACAAACAATGGATATGCATGCCAGTTCCTGGCCTTAAATGCAAACAATTTAATACTGCCTATTGTAACTGAGAAATCTGAGATGGTTCAGCAGCCATTACTAGTGCCACCTTAAATCAGTCTCATTGAACACTGTAGTAAGTTTAATGAAAAGTCTCATGAGTAATGTACGCCACCCAGAGTAACTTGATCGTGAGAGAGGCGGCTATCTAAATACAATGAATAAATAATCAGATAGTACTATATTAGTACTATTATCTATGGTACTAGATTATAAATATCTTCAAGGCTGAAGTGTTATCTTCCACATCAGCGATGGAGAGTTTGTGATTTTCCAAAAGTTAGTGAACTCCATATAACACTGACATCTCACTGGAACACCTGGGAGTTGTAATTTAGTAGTATCTATTAGTAGTATCTGTAATTCCCTACCTGATTTATAATATTCTATATACTGCAGTATACTATGAACCAGCTCTCCTTCTATAGAGTGAAATGCAGAAGATTATTGTTCTTTGAAACAGCTTTTAGGGAGCTCCTTTATACAGTGGAAGATGCATTCTGCTCATGGAATCTCTGGATCCAAGTTGTATTTCTCTTACTTTGGAAAAGGAGATATTTTTACTTCCTACCTGGCCAATGTTGAAGATTGGAACATATACCCTGGGGAGGACTAGGATGCTGTCTGTAGATGTAAGATGAACGTAAAACATTAAATGTATCCGCAAAACCTAGGAAACAACAAAAAGCTTATTTAGCATTTATGTAACTTTAGATCTTATACATTTAAAATTTTTAAATGAGACACACACAGGTCAGGCCTAGCCCAAGGAACTCCAAGAGACAATGCAAAATCAGTTCAGCTATGTTTATT